TTGTTGCTTTCCAATAAATTTTGATTGTCAATCTTTATCTTTGTCTTCTTAATGCATGCTCTTTTATTGCTCTCTCTCATTCATAATGACTTTTATTTATACCTTATTCTTTAACACTCAGTAATCCCTTGCATCTTAGTGGCTTTATTGCCTTGCTTGTGGTGAAATGGTTAATATATATATATATATATATATATATATATATATATATATATATATATAATATAAAAGTTTCAAACACTAATATTCCAGACCCGTCTGATGAATTTGATCGTGATTACGATTCCAGTGTAATAAATTATAACCATGGAATATTAGTGTTTGAGCCTTTTATATTATATTCTTACCCTGTCCTTGACATTGATTCTACCTGAGTTCTATCCTCTTGGAATATATATATATATATATATATATATATATATATATATATATATATATATATATATATATGTGTGTGTGTGTGTGTGTGTGTGTGTAAAATCTGTATATATATATATATATATATATATATATATACAATTTTTATATATATTATTTATGTAATAGATATGTGCGGTACTTATTGAAAAGCGCTCAATATCAGTGATAGAGCGAACCAATAACCAGTATAACCAGTGATAGAGCAATCCAACTATATATATATATATATATATATATATATGTGTGTGTGTGTGTGTGTGTGTGTGTGTGCCTTATCAATTAATCATGACGTCTTCCAGAAAATTCTCTCCGCGCGATTTATGATCTTTGACGATAGGATTCCTAATACTGATGTTTTCGCTAAGTGCAACATTAGTGGAATTGAGACTTTCCTGATGCAGTCACAACTTCGCTGGGCAAAGATGAGTGACGACAGAATAATTTAAGGTCCTAGATAGTGCACAAAGGAGGGTTGGACGGACGTGGACGATATGACAAACAAGCCAAGGAGTAACCTTTCATCTTTTAATGTGCCTCACTCACTTCATGGGAGTTGCCCTGAATAGAAATAAGTAGAGATATTTATGCCAGAGTGGTATCCAAATGTTTTTTTAAAACAGTCATATAAGAGATGAAAGACAACGACAAAAAGCTATGTCGTGACATCATATGTGGACTTGTATGCAGGTCACTAGAGAGACTGAAGTGTTCATAGGAGATAAACATAAAATTAAGTGAGGCTGTCGAATCCATCCACATGCGTCGAAATCGACGAGCGAGTCCATCAAGTATATATATATATATATATATATATATATATATATATATATATATATATATATTCAAACATGTTTCATTAAATAATATATGCAAATACTGTCTATTTATGTTATGTAAATTCTTTTCATAACGTCTGTATCAAGTGTAATCACAATATTGATCCATATTTTTTAATCCAATTTAAGCTTTGGGCTTATATAAGCCATTATCAAAGATGTCAATTATAGACATTTAAGGATATTTGTAAAGATTCCATAGTTGATTTTTTGTAGGTTAGGTTATAGCTTCAAGGATTTTTAGTTTTTGTCTATTGTTTTCATGTATAATTGTGTTTTCGACAAGGATTTTACGGAATTGTACGTGCGTCCAGGAATGTTGTTTTAAATGCCTAAAAATATTAGAGTTTTCATTCAAATGTAGTGTCAAGCGTCGTGAAAGCTAGTTTGTGGTGTGACCAACATAAATATTATTTAATTCGGGCACTTGAATTTATAAACTAATGTTGTTTTTTGCCTATATATATATATATATATATATATATATATATATATAGAGAGAGAGAGAGAGAGAGAGAGAGAGTAATGAATCTGTATTACCTTTCCCAATCAAAGAAATCACTTTTATGCGGAGTGATTAAAAATTGGATACAGGCTCGATTCCTGCCTGGCGCTACATTTTCTTTATTACGATTTTTGATATTTAGATCAGTAGATATTAATTTCACTGTTTAAAAAGCAGAAATGTCAGCTCAAACACAAAGCGTACATTTTAAAAATCGACTCATTTCTTATTAGAAGGTGTCCCTAAAATATACTCACTTTTTGACTTCCTCTCTTAAATTTTCTTTATTCTGAATCATGCATCTAATTTCATTTAATACATCATTTAAACCGTTAAGCTTTGTGAGTGAATAAACACGCTCACACACACTCTCTCACACATACACACACACACACACACACACACACACATATATATATATATATATATGAAGAGAAAAAGATTGTCGTATGTATATATATATATATATATATATATATATATAGAGAAAAAGAGAGAGCGAGAAACAAATTAGAATAAAAAAAGACAAATAGAAAATAGAGGTAGATAACGAAATATAAAGAAACTGAGATAGATAGATAGATAGATAGATAGATAGATAGATAGATAGAATATTTACTTCCGAAATCCATTTCACAGATTCTCGCAAACAGAAAAACTGAGTTCGACTGAAATCGATAATAATCTTTCTGACTATTTTTGTGTCAAATTGCAATCATTTCTTTACAGACACTAACCAATATAATTTATTGTTAAAAAATGTCCTTATTGGAATCAATTCAACATTGTTTTATGTTTATTTCATCATATATGATAACGAAAAAAAAAACTAAACTTAAAACTTTAGGTTTCTTGATGAAAAAGTTGACCAATCTACTGGGGATTCCAACTTCATTCGTTAAATTAGAAATGACTAAAGAGAAAATATATAAATAGAATCCTATTTTCCTTCTGATAAAATAAGTCCACCCACGGTGTCTTCGAGTCCATATAAAAATACGTTCAGTCCAAAATGAATCTTTTTTATGCAGAGTAAGAAGGTCTCCCCTTATAAAGTTTTACTCGTACACAGATTACACCTAAATCTACGAAGGTAAGGTGTTAAGCCATAAAAATAGTATATGTTTAGAGTGACGGACACTGAGACAAAGTAACCAGAAATTCCTTGATATTAAACCTTGCGACTTTAGACGAATAGAGAACTATTTTATCTCTTCCTTGAGAATTTAGGCAAACAAATATATTTTCGAATGACGAAAACGAATTGGGAAATAAAAACAAGGATTTATCCCGTTGTGAGGGTCGAAGCTATAAAAATAGACCCTGCAATTGCCGAGAGGGTTATCTGTTTTGTGTTTTCCATGGACGTGGGTAGGTCCGGGAACAGATAGATAATTTTATCTCTGCCTTGAAGATGCAAAAAATTAAAATTAATGATTGGAATAAACTGCGCCATTTCGCTCATACTATTTGAAAATTAGATTTGTCACAAAGATAGTTGTGCCGGCCTGAGAGATGGACTGAAGTAGAATGCCAAGAAGGAAGGGGGAAGAGGGAGGATTTAGTACCGCCTGTGTGGAGTAGTGGTGCAAGATGTGAAGTGAAGAGGGTTAGAGATAGGAGACGAGCAACCCCTATAAATATTCCCGAGAAGGTGTATGATTCTCCAAATTTGAAAATAAGGGGGATGATTCGCCAAATTTGATTAAGAAAGCAGCAATATAGAATAAAAAAAACCTTATTAGAATTAATGAGAAAATTAAAAAAATCAACTAATCCCAAGGTCCCTTAGACACGCGCCAGTTTTTGACCGAAGTGCATATAAGCAGATGAATTTGGGAGCTCAAGGATTTGGGCCGAGAACGCCCGTATCGAGTGCCTCTGGAATCCACGTCAGCTGCTACCAGATTTCCTGATTCCAAAGAACTTTGAATCAAATTATTAGGTGAGGATCACTCGCTCTAAAGATTGGTGTGGGAAGGGTTCATTTTTGTTGTACCAACATTATATAAACCGATTGAAGATTAACACCATGAATCTCGCGTGTTATTTTTTCGTTGTGAAAATATTTCTTCCTTAATATGGCACCCATCATAGATTGAACCGGAGCTGTCGATACTACGACATTCGATCTTCCATTGCTGTAAGGTCAAAAACACAATGTGGGCAGAGTTGGCGTGGATCAAAGCGGCCAACGACTGACAACCAGTTTGGACTAGCGGAAGCATCGACCAGCGCAGAGTTAGCCCTATGGTTAAAACGTCGTTCTGGGAACCCTTGCGACATTTTCTTCTCCAAGAATCAAATCTCACTTGAAAAGAACAAGATTTCAAGACGCCAAGGAAATCCAAGTTAATACGACGTCACCCTCCCAAAAGGTGTTCCAGGAATGCTTCTATCAACGGAAAGGACGTTGGATGAAGTTTATGGCTTCAGAAGGGGACTACTTCGAAGGATACTAAGTGCTGAATTGATATATGTTGTATTTTTATTTTGATAGCAGCTGTCCCAATACTCACACACACATATATATATATATTTAGTGTGATAATAAATAAACCTACATTTTAAAGAAAACAAAAACACTAGACAGAAAGATATCCTCATTATTATTCTATCAGAACTTTGACTATTTGACGAAAGTAACTTCCAAAAATACAAGGAGTTTCGAAATGATATAAATTTAATATATAATATGAAATATAATTCTTTTTTTCGGTTTCGACTTTTCAAGAAACAGAGGAAGAAATTATTGTGATAGAGTCCTACCCCAAAGGCAATAATTAAAACTGAATACACAGGGGTTGCAAGATATTTTTCTCTGTGCTGAGATAAAATCGGCAAATAACTAATTTGTGGGTTCAAGGTTTTTAACTCGAAGTTTATAAGTCGCAGAGGTAGAACTGAGAAGCTGGTTGCGAGGCTTTGGCGTTGTCGGAAGAGCAGAATCTGTGTTATTTTTAAATCGAGAGAAGTTTAATATATAACAAATGCTACAAAATATTTTCATAAATGTTGATGTCCAAAAGCATTTGTCATCGCTATTCGAAATCTTTCCATATTTTTAAGTCAGAAGTATTTATATATCTCACGTAAGTATTTTGACATTTACCCATCCCGCCACTCCAACTTCATTTTGCCGGTTCTTTTCCTCATTTTACATCGTTTAAATTAACCTGACGCAACTTGATTTAAGTAGAGTACCAAAGGACTATGGAGATCATTTCACAAGCAATAATATGCCAAGCAATTTTCCTCTTGTATTACATCTATCTATCTATCTATCTATCTATCTATCTATCTATCTATCTATCTATTCAGAGATCTCTCAGTCTGTTTTTATCTATCTATCTATCTATCTATCCCAGTCTGTTAATATCTATCTATCTATCTATCTATCTATCTATCTATCTATCTATCTATCTATTCATTATCTATTTATTTCAGTTTCTAATATCTATCTATCTATCTATCTATCTATCTATCTATCTATCTGTTATATAGGAATACAATGTCGCTGCCGACACTTGAGTTTGAACGTAGATCGCCAGTGTGTAAACACAGTCGATCCCATTATCGAATTAAGTAGACCACGTGACCATAGAGGAAACGCATATATGGGAGGTAACGTGTGTTTATTGGGTCCTCATTTCTAGTCTATCCTCTATTACTATACGTGTCTCTATTTCTTTTCTCTCCTCTTTTACTATACAGACCGCTATTCTCTGCTCTATTTACTATACTATTCGAATCATTTTACTGATTACTGGTCGAGTGATTTATTATCGAGCAAGTGATATTACTGCGAGTGTTATTCGAAGGCGTCTGGCACCAGTATTGTTCAACGGCGTTACTATAGTTACAACGAGCATCACGAAAGCGATAAGTATTCGTTGACATCACAAAAGTGTCAACGAGTGTTTGTTGACATCACAAAACTATCTATCTATCTATCTATCTATCTATCTATCTATCTATCTATCTATCAAATCGGCTGCAGTCTGGACGATAGCGCCATTATTAACACCATGATCCTTTTAATGGCGAATTGCATGTACTCTTCCATGACTATATACGGTTTTGTATTCAGTTCTTTCCTCTGTCGTAAACTGGTTGACACGAACACTAACAAGTGTTCAGTTTCCCCTGCTATTTAACCCGTGACTGGCAGGAGAAGAGATGGATTCATAACTGTCCCAAGATTATTTTTACCAAAGTAAATGTAATGAACGCGAATAGAATTCGAACTCTGATCGCCGAATTCTCGTTCCGAGCTTGTACCCATTAAATTTCTGATCTATGTGCCATGACCCTTTAGCTATTTGCGATCATAGCTCTCTGTAATTTCCTGTCCTTTGTCGCAATTAGCAAATTTGACATTTTTGCAATCTCTCCAAAAACCTTTTCTGACACCCATTTACGCATATCTCGTTTCGTAGATTAAACTCTGTTCCTCTTACCTTCAATATCCCCCCCCCAGTAAGTGTCAAATTTTCCAAGCTCTCTTTCCTCATTATATGTCCCGGTAATATCGACTCTTACTTTCTGATGCTATGTAAAAGTATCTTTTTTGTATCTGTCTATATTTCTGAGATGAGGCATTATCTACACTATTTACATTATTCGGATTATTGTCCTCATCGTTGTTGCCAATTTATCACAAACGATTCGACCGTTGTACGCTCCGGCCTTCTTCAGGTAGTTAGAATGTCTTTAAGGACATATGGCACAGTGGATAAAGGCGTTGGTTAGATCCAGTGACAGGACCCAAAGAGATGTGAGTTCAATACCTGGTTATGGCAGTGGAGAATTTGGAGAAGTGAATTAACAAGAGATAACTGATAACTGACATCCATTAGACATTTCACGTGGAACTAGAACAGTCTACCCCAGCGAGCGAAATAAAGGCTTCAGTTCCACATTCCAACCACCTGAAGAAGGCCGGAGAGTACAACGGCCGAAACGTTGTGATAAATATGGCAAGAAAAATGAGGGCGCGTGTCCTTTTGTTTTCATTTCCTCTAAAACTTCGTCATTGCTAACATGTTCAGTCTATAGTATTCTCAGCATCCTTCTGTAGAACCACATTTCTGTTGCCTGAAATCTCTTCTTCATCTGTGTAGACATTGTCCAGCATCCACTGCCATATACGAGTACCGATATTACATAACAGTTCTGTACTCTTTTCTTTGTTTTTGATTTTCCTGTTTCTTAATACTTTGTTTAGAATTTTGGGAAGCATATTTCGCTTTCCAAATGCCGGAAAACACAGCCGTTAAACCATTAGGTTGTAAACAAAAGAAATAAGGATACTCGACCAAATTATTAAGAAATAATACCAGTAATATTTTTCATATAAATCAGATTTCCTTTTTCTGGACTTCCCGGTTATACGGTAATTTGGTAAAACACTGTCACCATACCACATTTGGCTGTGATGGTACCTTAGGTACCTTTATCAGACTGGGTATCATGATGAGTATATCGAACTTCTTATATTTGTATCACATAATCACCATTTTGGAATGCTACTCTCTTACACAATAATAATAATAATAATAACCAGGTTATGTCAATATTGATCCCTTTGAAGATACCGAGGAAGGTTCTTGAGAACTGAGGAGACATGCTGTCATTTAGATACAAAAGAACATGGCAATCGATTGTCGTAGTAAAGCAGGTGACAGAAAAACCCGAATTAAGAAGATATTGAGGAAGACAAGAAGGGACAAAAAATGAAAAGAGATGTTTTTCCATGGACAATTTGAAAAACAGAAATATTTACAGAGGAACAGTCATGAATATGGTAAAAAGTAAGATACCGATTTGTTGAACTAAGGAGTTTACAGGTGATGGGGGGAAAAAGAAAGAAAATAAAAAAAAATACCAGAACCTCACCCGAGGAATGGGGAAAAGATGGAATATGAAATTTATAAATACATTTTATCCATTTGCAACCATTCCGACAATGTTAAATTAATTGCAGATTCTATGGAGGCTTGGCATTATAAAACAAATGGAGGTGCTAGAGTCGGAAAGAATTCTGACGAAAGTGCTGGAGATTTGAAAGATCCCCTGTCTCTCGGCCCTCAGCACTAACCGGTAGATATTTGATGCGAACATACATATGCACTAAATGTAACAATCAAAGATGAAATTGAAGAAAAGAAAAGAATAAATTGTAATTATTAAAACAACGACACATTATCTGTAGTAGAAAAAGAAGAAATGCAAAAAAAAAAAAAAAGAAAAATGGCTGTCTAGAGTGGTAAGTGTAAGACCTGTTCATATAAAATGGCCGTGGTCGGTTTGGCGTATCACCAAAGATACTAAAGAAAAAGAGAGAAAGGAAATCATTAGCCAATAAGCGAGCAGGTTCGCTTACAAGTGGCGGGGAGGTGGCGATCTGACGGATAAGATGTCAAAAGTTCGGGGACAGAAAGTGAGCAGAAGGTTTGCAGGGTTGAACAGCACCAGGGCGGGGGTGGGGGTCGTGTAGGCAGTTTTACCGCCATTACCCTGACTTAGCATCAATGCAACATTTCCTGCCTTTTAGTAAAAATGTTCGCATTTTTCTTTCTTTCTTTCTTTCTTTCTTTCTTTCTTTCTTTCTTTCTTTCTTTTAATATCTCACTTTTTTTTCTTTTAATATCTACCGTTTTTCTTTAATTCCACCTTTTCTATTTTTCTTAGGTTTACCTCCATTCTTTTACGGTTTTCTTCCTTTTTCTATCTTTATCTGTTTTCCATTCAAGACTTAACTCTTATTTTTCAAAATGATTTCATGTGTAACTCTTCTTCTTTCTTGTTTTTAATCCCCATTTCATTACGTTTATCTTTCTTTTTTTATTCTGTGTGTTTTCTTTTCTTTTACATTCACTTTTCTTAGTGCTATATATCTTTCTTTCATTTTGCAATTAACAAATGCAAAATCGTTTTTCCTTCTTGGATGACCAAATGACTGTTACTCTCTTTTGCTCTTTCTACGTTTCAAAATGGCGATGCCTTTTTCAGTTTCGAAATCTTCCCAGTATTCTCTCTCTCTCTCTCTCTCTCTTGTTTGCATTTCTCTGTTTTTGTTTCGTCGCCGTCAGGTTGAACTTTTGTTACTGTTGTACAATCATTGCTTATATTTTCATGTTTTATCCCATTCATTTGTTTTATTCTTTCTTCTTCATTTCCATCTTCGATTTTCTTTTCTTTCCAACTTCTCTGGTTTTCATTCTCCATTTTTTTGATCGGTTTCTTTTTTCTTAGATTAACTGGTCGATTTTTTCGTTTTCATTCATTTCTTCTTCCATTATTTCATTTGCTTTTATTTCTATTAAAACGTTTCCTTCTTCAATCCAGATATTTTAGGTCATTTTCTTTTACTGTTGATTCACTTATTTATTTTCTTCCTTTTTTCATTCTTTTATTTTCATTCTAATTATTCCCGTCCTTCCTTTTTCTTATTATTCCTTTTTTCCTTCACGACAATTTATTCTGTCTTTTTCATATTCCACTTTTTACAGCTTCTCCCTTTTTATTCATTATTATTCGCTTTTTTGTCTGTCCCATCTAGTATCCTACTTTCTCTATCATCTTTTCTTCTTCTTTGTTACGACATCCTTCTAAAACAACTTATTCCAACCCATAATTCTCAGCAATGATTCTTCTTCTTCTTCTTCTTCTTCTTCTTTCTTCTTCTTCTTTGTCACCACGTTCTTTTTCAACCCACCCCTCTCCCTAATGACTCTTCTTCTACTCTATGACAACGCTCCCTTTTATCTCTTTCTTTTAACCAGTTTTCCTCTCTAATGATATTAGTTTCTTTTCCTACTCTTTCTCCTCCTTCATTGTTGAGACGTTCAGCTACAACACCTCCCAAACAATCTCCTTTTGTTTTGTTGTTTGTATTGTTGTTGTTGCTATTTCTGTTCTTCTTCTTCTTCTTCTTCTTCTTCTTCTTCTTCTTCTTCTTCTTCTTCTTCTTCTTCTCTAACCCATTTATTCAATTTCTTCTTTCATATAGTCTTCCTCCTTCATTTTTCTTACGCATTTCGCCATCTTTTTTAAACCATCACTCTCGCTACTGATACTTTTTCTTCTTCTTCTTCTTCTTCTTCTGCTACTACTACTACTTCTTCTTCTTCTACTACACTTTAACTCTGCTTATTCTTCTTCTGTATTCTACCCTTACAACGATCCACTTAAGTGACTGGACGGAAACCTGACGCCATGACAGTGGAGAGGAAGGCTTGAAGACGCGGAGAGGAAGGAGTACGAGGTTAGCGTGGGCTGTGTGACAGGATGAACCATGCAGAGGTGGCCGGAGTTACTCAGTTCATCCTGCACCGCTGCCAATACCGACACCAGCACCACCACCACCACTACAACAAACGCCATTTATACACCGGGCAAATGAACTTCAAGTAGCTTTTACCCAATGAAAGTGGCTAGGTTCTTCCTCCCTCTCACTATTTAGTACATCCACGTACAAATGCATATATATATATATATATATATATATATATATATATATATATATATATATATATATATAATATGGTATTCAAAAGTTTCATATATATATATATATATAATTTTCATATAAAGTAATAAGGAAAATCACTTTTTTAGCGGATATACTCAAAATGCATGATATAGATATGCAATAGGAATGGTAATACTGAAATCAAGCTGACAGAGCATCTTCGCCTGGTAGGGTAAACCATCTAAGAAAAAAACTCTGATTTCAAACTTCCGCTGCCTCAAAACCATATCCAATTAGATTGGATATGGTTTTGAAGATAAAATATAAGATTCTGAAGATAAAATATGAAGCAGGAATCCCAACGCCAGTCCGACAATGATTCCAACCTCAATATGGCTACTCTTACAACAAAACTGGTTCCAAGAAGTACTGCACCCCCAGCCCTTCCATAGAACATCTGTGGCATCGAGTGGGGAGACATGGAAAGGGGACTCTAGTTTTGCCTCACCTACAATTGCTTGATAAAGTAAAAACACGCTGTTGTAAACACCAGCTAAATAAAAAGAAAATTCCTCAATTGCAAATCCATTGTGTGTCATGGCTGACGAAGCGAATGTCACGCACATTTTTACAATTTATATTTAGGCAGCAAGAATTCAATTAAACAGATTTTATTAAATTTAATCAACAAGATTTTTTCTATTCATGTTTGCTATGTATTAATATAATTTTCAAACAAATTGTGACGTATCCGCATATTTAAAATGCGTATAAAATGCATTTAAAATGTATGAAATACTATAATTGTTTTCTGGTAATGTTAAGGTTTGTGAAACTGTTCAAAATATTTAAATTTCAGTTGTAGTGTTCCAATGTACTGCCAGGATGAAGCTAACTATGATACTGAAGATATTTATTTCTTGGTAATGACCGAAAGTACTCGAATAAAAAGAAGAAAAGCAAGTCAGATGAGCTGTGATACAGCGAAAAATACTGTCGATGGATGACTATATATATATATATATAATGAAATGCTGAATGGAACACTACGTATTTTAAGACATTAAATCGATCTACAGGTTTTATTTTTCTAACTTGAAATTGAGCACTTTTTAACACATACGATTTTAAACGACTATTTTAGCGTTTATTTAAAATCTTCGTCATATATATATATATAAAGAAATGGACAAAGTCCGACAATTTATTTATTAAAGACATTTTTATGTTTAACGTTCTTTTTTTTTTATAGATACAAGTATTTAAGTAAATGCTCTGTTTATAATAAACAGTATTAAATAACATTAACCGGCCTGAATGTCCGAGAAATTTTCATAGAAAATATTCGTCCTTTGACAGGATTTGAACCTGCATCCTATACGGAACCGTCATTTACGCTGACGTGCCTTACCTACCAGCCACAAAGGAGCGTTCGGTAGACAAGGTCAAATTTACTGCTTATAAACTTCAATCTTCCATGAATCTCGTACATTCATAACTGCTCTGGCGTATCAAATGTAAACAAATGACGTCATATATTAAGAAATGGACAAAGTCCGACAATTTATTTATTAAAGACATTTTTAAAAAAGAACGTTAAACATAAAAATGTTTATTATAAACAGAGTATTTACTTAAATACTTGTATCTATAAAAAAGAACGTTAAACATAAAAATGTCTTTAATAAATATATATATATATATATATATATATATATATATATATATTTGTTTTTGTTTATCAACATTATACTTTAAAAAGTAAAGTACAATTACATTTTATTCAATTATATAATCACCATTGCTTGCAATAGCATATTCGAACAAAAATTTTTGAACATGTTGCAGCCTCCTTGGACGTAAGAATATGTGTTTAGACTTTCATTGAATTTTAATTATTCTAACACAGTGGTTTCCAAACTGTTTTTTCTCTTCTGAAATCGCGGGAAAAGCGCAAGAAGTCATACGTCAAAGAAGCTCCAGAGAAAGGGTTAAAGTTTCAAAGTCAGAACATTATCACTGATAACGCTCTCCTTCAATTTGCAGACCCTAGTTACTATATTCTTAATACTTGATATAATGCAAAAATATCACAATGATAAAATCGGTCAATAATTATTTATAATTATTTATACTAGGACTCATGCATGCAATTACAAGTAATCAATAATAAGATTTCAAATTTTGAGCTCATATTTATTTTTGGCATATGGATTTTTTTAAATTCTCTGATTGTTTTTCAATCATTCCGCCTCACCTGCTATCCTTTTCCCCCTCTCCTATTATTCGCGACGCACCGTTTGTGAAGCACTAAGTGAATAATATCTCGATGAACCCATCACACACAACATTACTATCCGTAATGCACTGCTGTTTGAATCGATTATGGAGATTTTTGTTTGTTAATTGAACATCTCTTTATTTGATCATGGTCGTTTCTTAGGCTATTCCAAATTCATTCTTATTAATTACGTATGATTAATAATTAGATTGATACATCTGTCAGTACAACTGGAGACCCAAAACGAAAATTACCGTATATTTCCGCCTATAAGGCGACTTTTAGATAAGACGAGGTAAAAAATATAGCAAACTTTCATGAATTTATCCTATACTTGTAGTATAAGACGATCGCATATTGATTATATAAAGATGATTTTATTGGAAATGTTGTTACTCAATGTATCCTTAGAAATCCAAAATAAACGAAGTAAAACTGATTATATATATATATATATATATATATATATATATATATATGCTTTTTACTACTGCTTACCCAATATAAGGGCCAAGAGCCACTCAAAGTAGAGGATACCTGTGTGGAATTGTATTGGCATGGGAAAGAAAAAACGCTAGGAGTATTGAGTTGAAGTAGACTTTATAAGTAACCGGAAATCCAATCCTAAACAAGAAACAAACATCTACTCCTGTTCAAAAGACCGGGAAGGAAAACCTGACGATTGATTTTATGCGTGAAGCAGTCATCACTCGTGCTGACCGCAGTGCGCACTTTTATATTTACATATATGTTATCTCTTATCTTGTGCACTTTTACCTATAACTATTTAGCATACCTTAAAACAATATTTTCATCATATATTTTTCATATATATATATATATATATATATATATATATATATATATATATATATATATATATATATATATATATATAGTGAATATACATCGGAGATTCATGCAATCTTCAGGTGCCATCGATGTATATTCACTAATATATACGTATAGCCCTGTTACATACCACTAATCACTGTATTTATATCACCTGAGGAAGAAATATATACGTAGGTACGTGCAAATATATATACATATTTTCGATGATACCAATATATATATATATATATATATATATATATATATATATATATAGACTAGTAGCATGGCCCGGCGTTGCAATCGCTATCACTTGACTTAAAATATGTTTGCCTTTCCTTGCCTTTAAAGGGGTGCCCTTTGCTGTGCTGATGTTGCTACATGCCTTACTTCTTGCCTAGACTGCGAATTTTTTTAAGCTCTATACTAAACAAAATGAACACAAAACGATCAGCTTTGAAACTTGTAACTGAAAAACCGAATGAAAAAAGAATGTTAACAACAAATACTTTTTCACATCCAACCCAGTTCTGCGGAATCAGAATCAACGTTGAGTTTAAGCAAGCGAATGAGCCAATTGGAGTAAAGTGCCATACAGATTTAAATTTTTCCCACTTGCGACGAATGCAGCTATCGATTTTTTTTTTTTTGCATGCTAGCATGCTAGTTAACATTCATGTCAGTCAGCTGTTGGCTCTCACGCTGGCCAATAGAATCTTCCTGCTTATTCGTGGCAGCCAGCTATAGGCTCTCACTCTGGCCCGTAAAAAATGGCCGCAAACTACATGAAAACTGTCGTAGAAGCATTAAAAAATCGATTATTTCCACTATTGATGGGAGTTGGGAAATGCAAAGTCGGTCTTGACCTTCCAGCTAACTTGGAACATGTTTATGTAAATTTTGGTGCAAATCGAAAATTGCGGCCGTGCATTCGTTACACACACATACACATCCTGCCATGATGATTCACCTCCTGAAGGGACGTGCCTTCTAAAAATATATATTGTTTTTGATATGATGAAGATGTTTCATATCTGAGTAAATGAAAATCGTTTCAAAATGCTGATTCAAAGCTCTTCGAACTTGAATGGACACTCAGCATAGTTGGCTTACAGTTTTCTCTTTGTCTTACATGATATAT